TCGAAATTTTGGGCTCAAGTGACCCTCTCTCCTTAGTCTCAAGAGTGGCTGGGACTACAGGAGAGTGACCCCATGCCCCGCTAATTATTATTTTTATTTTTTATTTTTTTGTAGCAGTGAGGGTCTCACTTTGTTGCCCAGGCTGGACTCAAACTCCTGGCCTCAAGTGATCCCTCCACCATAGCCTCCCAAAGCCCTGGGATTAGAGACAGACCTGAGCCACTGTGCCTGGCCTGAATTCTGCTTTCTTTGTGGAGGGAGGGAGAATAGCATGAGAAGATGGGTCCTGTTCCTCACCTCCCCAGCAACTAGCCTTAAGGCAGAAGAGGAGAATTGGGGTAGTCTTTATTTGGGAGGAGGAAACACACTTTCTCATAAGGTATCAGGGTTTGGTGTTTCTCTCCTAGGAAGAGAATAATACTCTCACACCCCCAAAGCTAATAGGAGCCCAGGGAAGTCTTGGCTTAGTTGGGTGACCATGTTGTGAAATAGAAATATAAATGTGGGCCAGGTGCAGTGGCTCACGCTTATAATCCTAGCACTTTCCGATGCCGAGGCAGGCGAATCTTAAGCCCAGGAGTCGGAAACCAACCTGGACATTATGGCGAAACCCTATCTCTACTGAAAAAACAAAACGAAACAAAACAAAACAAAAATTAGTTGGGTGTGGTGGTACATGCCGGTAATCCCAGCTACTCATGTCACTGAGGGATGAGAATCATTTGAACCTGGGAGGCGGAGGTTGCAGTGCGTCAAAATGACACCATTGCACTCCAACCTGGGCTCTGTCTCAAAAAAAAAAAAAAGAAGAAGAAGAAAGAAATATAAATGTGAGTCACATATGAAATTGGAAATGTTCTAGTAGCCACGCTTAAGAAAGTAAAGAGAAACAAGTGAAATAATTTTAATAACAAATTTTATTTAACCCAGTATGTCCAAAATAATATCATTGCAACCTGTAATTAATCATTGCAACCTGTAATTAATACACAAATGATTAATGAGACATTTCACAGTTTTTGTACTAGATCTTTGAAATTCAATGTGTATTTTTTACTTACATCACCTTTTTTTTTTTTTTTTTTATAGAGTTTCACTCTTGTTGCCCTGGCTGGAGTGCAATGGTGTGATCTTGGCTCACTGCAACCTCCGCCTCCTGAGTTCAAGCGATTCTCCTGCCTCAGCTTCCCAAGTAGTGGGATTACAGGCATGTGCCACCACGCCTGACTAATTTTGTATTTTTTAGTAGAGATGGGGTTTCACCATGTTGGCCAGGTTGGTCTCGAACTCCTGACCTCAGGTGATCTGTCTGCCTCAGCCTCCCAAAGTTCTGGAATTACAGGTGTGAGCCACTGCACCCAGCCTTACACCACAATTTTTATTAGCCACATACCAACAGCTCAATAGCCACATGTGACTCATGGCTATAACATTGGACAGAACCATTTCAGACCACAGATTCTGGAAATGAAGATGTAGAAATCTCAGCATTTCTGCATCCTAAGATTGCCTTTGGAAGGACTCTCAGGACATCTGGTCAAGCCCCTCACACACAAGGAAATGACTTTCCTCGAGGAGACCCACTGCTCCTAGCAAAGTTGATGTCCTCACGTGTGCATCCCAGTCTGGGAAACTCCCCCATTCCAGCAGCCTCCCACCAATGGAGACGGGCTGCCGACAGCCAGCCTCAGGGTGTAAAACAGGGGCAAGGGGTTTTACACCTTCCTTTTACACAGGAAGACACTGGAAGGATGTAGAATGGACCCTACCCTGGCGACTTCCTCTCCTCTGTCACCTTCTCCCTTTCTGGAGGGAATGTCACAGCCTGGGCACAGAGCGGACAGGAATTCTTTTGTTAACTTCCGAAACTGCAATGTAGACTTAGGCCCACCCCTTACCTTCTGATTCTCCTCTCTCCATACTCATGGCTGCCAATAATGAGCTAGACCCTGCAAGCTACAAAGATAAGAGGCAGAGGCCCTGGGAAGGAGAAACTTTGCTGAGACTTCATGGGGGAAGAAATAGTTAATTTTGCCTGGGGACCCAGGGCAGGCCTCCCTGGGGGAGGAGATGTCTGAACAGAAGGAGCAGTGGGGTGGGGAGGCTGGGGGTGGGGGATGTTAGTGATGATGAGAGACAGCAGCTGAAGGGAAAGGGCCTCCAGGAAGAGGGTGACAGTCCAAGAAAGGGGCAGTATGAGGGAACTGGTCTCCTATTTTCCCAGGGGCCATGGCCACTGCTGCTCTTTCTCCTCCCAGAAGTTGCCTTGACTTCCCCTATAAGAAAGGGAAAGGAGATTCCTTTTTTTTTTTTTTTTTTAATAAAGACAAAGTCTCCCTTTGTTGTGCAGGCTGGTGTCGATCTCCTGGCTTCAAGAGATCCTCCTGCCTCTGTCTCCCAAAGTGCTGGGACTATAGGCTTGAGCCACTGTGCCCGGCCAGAGAGTCTGTTTAAAAAAAATCTGTCTGCTTCACCTGAGTTCCTAAAAAGACAAGCACATGGTAGGCAGCCAATGAAGGCTTGTTAGTGAATAGAGGAGAAGGCAGAGAGCGGACGAAGGGGCTATCAGGCTGAGACCAGGCCAGCTGGGTCACCGAGTAGCAGATGGTGGAGGGGCAGGAAGGAGACTGGTGTGTCCTGAGCATCTGGTTTGTCTCCTCATCTTCAGGATCTCATTCACTCCCACTAGAGTGAGAGGTAGGTGGTACTGCTCCCATTCTACAGAGGAGGAAAATGAGGCTCAGAGAGGTTCAGTGACCATTTGGGGTTATGGCTTGTTCTGTCTGATTTCAAAAGCCCATCTTTCTAGGTGCTTTCTGACATGTCCTCATCTGGTTATTGCCAAAAACTAAGCAGTGACCAAGTTCTTGGTAGGCACCTGTGCCTTTGAATTCCTGGTGAAGTGGAGGGTTCCTGGAAAGGTTTTCTGAAACAGAAGGTCACTACCAGGCTTGGTGATCACCCAGTCCCATTCCTCTCCACCCCCAGGTAAGGATGGGAGGCAGTTCTGAGAGGTAAAGTGGCCTGCTCACATGGGGAGTGGGTGACTGGAGGTGGGATTGACCACCCTGCCCCTGGGCACTGACTCATGGCAGCTGCTGTGGGAAAGCCACTTCCAGCCTTGACTTTCCCAGCCAGGCAATGGGTAGGATTGCTTTGCCGAATCCGCTTGGGCCTGGAGCCAGGGAACTGGGAAAAAGCTGAGCACAGCACATTGCCAGGGTACCTCACCCTCTCCCTGCTCCCAGTGCCAACAGCTCGCATGGCGCATCCCTCCTTGTGGGCAGGAGCCTTTCCAGTTTCCAGAGGGACTAGGCCAGGCCCAGGCCATGATGCTCCTCAAATCCCCAGTACCCAGCACAAATCCCCAGTACCCAGTACACACCCACCATGCTGGTATGCTGAGGACTGTCTCAGTTTCAGCACATCCTGAGTCCTAGGAACTCCTCAGTCCTGGGCAAACCTGGATGGTTAGTCTCCCTAGCCCTGCACCAAATTCATAGTTGGCACTCAAGAAATGTTCTAAGTAGGACAGTTATGGTGGCTCATGCCTGTAATCCCAGCACTTTGGGAGGCCGAGGTGGGAGAATTGTTTGAGCCCAGGAGTTTGAGATCAACCTGGGCGACATAGGGAGACCCCATCTCTACAAAAAATAAAAAGATTAGCCGGGTATGGTAGCGCGTGGCTATATTCCCAGCTATTCAGGAGACTGAGCCAGAAGGATCACTTGAACCTGGGAGGTCGAGGCTGCAGCAAGCCGTGATTGCGCCACTGCACTCCAGCCTGGACAACAGACTGACTCTGTCTAAAAAAAAAAAAAAAAAAGAAAGGAAAAGAAATGTTCCCAGTAAATGAAGGAAATTAGCAAACTAAAGAACAACAAATGGGCCACAGTGCTGTGAGGGAAACAGAACAAGGACTGCTGACCTCATTTTGTAGCTGAGGAATGGAGGCCTGGAGAGTTTAAAAGTTCAGGCTACCCATCTCTATCTCATGCCTTTCCTCTGCACCAGATCTCAAAACCAGATCTCAGGGAACACCCTGAGAATTTTGAGCTGGTCCCTGGGGAGAGAAGCAGCTGGGCCAAAGAGAAGGCATTCAGTGGCTCTGTGCCTAAGCTTAGGCTGGAAGGGACACCGAGAGATGGGGAGGAGAGGGGCTGCTCTATTTTTTTTTTTTTTTGAGACAGAGTCTTGCTCTGTCACCCAGGCTGGAGTGCAGTGGCGCGATCTCAGCTCACTGCAACCTCTGCCTCCCTGGTTCACGCCATTCTCCCGCCTCAGCTCCCGAGTAGCTGGGACTGCAGGAGCCTGCCACAACACCTGGCTAATTTTTTTGTAGTTTTAGTAGAGATGGGGTTTCACCATGTTAACCAGGATGGTCTCAATCTCCTGACCTCCTGATCTGCCAGTCTCAGCCTCCCAAAATGCTGGGATTACAGATGTGAGCCGAAGCGCCCGACAGTGGGGCTACCGTATTTCGACTGCATAGCGAAGAGCCTCGGTGGCCCTGCCTGCCTGGGTGGGTGCAAACCTGGCTTCAGCCACTGCTAACTGTGTGGCCTTGAGCAAGTGACATATTCTCTCTGCTTTAGTTTCCTCATCTGTAAAATGGGAATACCATAATGATGCCCAGCTTTTGAGGTTTTTGCAAGTATTAAATGAGATAATGCATAGAAAGTAATTAGCACAGTGCCTGGCACAGCATAAATGCTCCAGAAATATCGGCTGTTTTTCATATATATATATATATATATATTAAAAATATGTATATTTCTTTTTTATTAATGTATTTTAAATTTTATTTATTTGTTATTATTATTTTGAGACAGGGTCTCCCTCTGTCACCCAGCCTGGAGTGCAGTGGTGCAATCTTGGCTTACTGCAGCCTCAGCCTCCTGGGCTCAAGCAATATTCCTGCCTCGGCCTCCCAAAGTGCTGGGATTACAGGCATGAGCCACTGTGCTTGGCCTTTTTAATTTTTTAAAAATTTAAAAAAATTTTTTAAGGTTTTTTGGCTGTAAGTTTATTCAAGGCAAAAGAATCCTCTTCAATTTTACTGAGGTGGCTGACCACGTCCACGACCAAATCCGCCTCTAAACTGGAATTCGGTTGCTGACCCAGCCCCAGACTCGGCTTTCTTGTCAGCACCAGGTGACACAGCACTCCCTCTGTAGGTATCTCTGTCAGCTTCCCCTCTTGTGAGTCTCGCAGGTCGCTCACCCTCCAGACCTTTAGGCTGAGGCCTGCCAGTCTCTGGACGGCCATGGCGTAGGGTGGCAGGCACAGTCTCCGGGGGCAGATGAAGGTAATCACAGATATACTGGATACCCTCATTGGTAAGGTACCAGTAGAAATGTCTCCAGGCAAACTGTTCCTTCACGTAGCCTCCGGACTTGAGAGACTGCATGGCCTTCATGACATGAAGGTTCGGCACATTCTTATCTGCCAGCTCCGGGTGCTTAGGCATGTGGACATCCTTCTTGGCCACCATGACTCCCTCCTTGAAAAGGAGTTCATAAATGGCAATCCGGTTCTTCTTAGGCATCAACACCTCGGCGGCTCTAATTTTTTTATAGTCAAATGCAATAGTGTTCTTTTTCTTTTTTTATGTTTTTTCTTTTTTATAGTGATTATTTTTCTTATTTGGTGCAACAGACATTAACTGCGTACTCACTTTGTGGTGTAGTGGGAGCTGCTTCAAAGGACAAAAGTCTGACACTCCTGTTATTTGACACTCCTGTTATTTGGCGATTCAGTCTCCACGTCTGTAAAACGGGGTTTTACCTAATTCAGGGTTGCTGTGAGAAGTGTGAGCTAGTGAGTATTTGGAGAGAACAAGTACTTAATAAATGAGCCATCTCTTTCCTCCCCACGCCCATCTTAACCTTTAGAATGATCCTGTGACGTTCATATTATTATTATTTTTATGCATGTATGTATGTATGTATGTATTTATTTTTTGAGACAGAGTCATGCACTGTCGCCCAGGCTGGAGTGCAATGGCATGATCTCGGCTCACTGCAACCTCCACCTCATGGGTTCAAGCGATTCTCCTGCATCAGCCTCCTGAGTATCTGGAATTACAGGCACTCGTCACCACGCCCAGATAAATTTTTGTATTTTTAGTAGAGACGGGGTTTCACTATGTTGGCCGAGCTGGTCTCGAACTCCTGACCTCGTGATCCGCCCGCCTGGGCCTCCCAAAGTGGTGGGAGTACAGGCATGAGCCACCACAACTGGCCTACATAGTATTATTATTCCCAATTTACAGAAAAGGAAACAGTCACTAGCGGATACTTAGAAAACGTTTGTGTCGTGAATAAATGAACGAGTGACTGAGTGAGTGGGTGCGTGGAGGAACGAACGAATGAATGAATGAGCGGGTGTGCGTGGACCCTGCGGGCCGGGCACCCGGAGTCTCCCTCCTTTGCACCCTGGGCGCGTTGGAACCTCCTCGCGCGCTTGGCCACTCGCTGCTCCTGGCAGTAGGGGCTGCGGGCCCCGCCGCTGTCCCCACCCAGGTATGGGGATGCGGAGTTGATGGGCGCGGGGCGCTGGGAGGGAGCAGATGAAAGGGGCAGATGAAAGGGGGGCAGAGCGCGCCGAGCGCAGCCAGGTCATTAGCCGCGGGTGTGAGCGGCGGGGCGGGCTTATCGCCCATCGCGGCCTGGCGGGCGGGCGGGTCCCCGACGCGGCTGCCGCCGCCGCCCGGGGCAGAGGGCACGGCGGTTCCCACGCTCCGGCCCTGGGTCGGGGGCGTTCTCGGGACGGCGTGGCCGCGCTCGCCACCACAGCGGAGGCCGGGCTGTAATTAGGATAATTGCGCTGCTCCCCGCCTGGGGCAGCTCAGGACCCCGGCTGCACCGCGCTGGCCCGGGACGGGCGGGGACGGGGTGGCGGGGCCCGAGCGCTGCAAGCCCTGGCGCAGTCCGTTCCTCTAGACAGGTGAGTCAGCACACCTGGGAGGCCCCAGCCACGAAGGGGCTTTGTGGGGAAATGAGTGAAGGGAGGAGAACTAGCCTGGACCGAGCACCTAATGTATGCCGGTGGTGTGGATTAAACTGTTCCATTATGGCTCAACATTAGGGCATTGTGGGAGTAGGTGAGAACATCCGTCCTGCCCGGTGGTGCCTGACCCAGAGGAGATGTGCAAGACGAATAGCATCTTCATCTGCATAGCAGTTTAGTAGGTGGGCATCAGGAGGCCCAGAGGTTAAGTCTCAAGACTAGGCAGCCAGGAGATGGCATGCTTCAGAAAGGAGAACAATGAAGACCTGCCGGGAGTAGTGGCCCACAACTGTAATCCTAGCTCTTTGGGAGGCCTAGGCGGGAGAATTGTTTGAGTTAAGGAGTTCGAGACCAGCCTGGGCAATATAGCAAGGCCCAGATTTCCCCACCACGCCATCTCTACAAAAAGTACAAAACAGGCCTGGCTCGGTGGCTCACGCCTGTAATCTCAGAACTTTGGGAGGCCAAGGCGGGCGGATCACCTGAGGTCAGGAGTTCAAGACGAGCCTGGCCAACATGGTGAAACCCCCATCTGTACTAAAAATACAAAAAAATTAGCTGGGCGTGGTGGCAGGCACCTATAATTCCAGCTACTCGGGAGGCTGAGGCAGGAGAATCGCTTGAACCCGAGAGGCGGAGGTTGCAGTGAGCTGAGATTGCACCATTGCACTCCAGCCTGGGCAACAAGGGCAAAACTCCATCTCAAAACAAACAAACAAAAACATTACCCTGGTGGTGGTGTGCGCAGGTAGTCCCAGCTACTCAGAAGGCTGAGGCAGGTGAATTGCCTGAACCCAGGAGGCGGAGGTTGCAGTGAGCCGAGATTGTGTCACTGCATTCCAGCCTGGGTGACGGAGTGAGACCCTGTCTCAAAAATGAAAAGAAAAAAGAAAGAAAATGAAAACCTATGCCCACGTCGAGCATTGGCTTTGCTCCCTCAAGTACCTCATTTTTACTGCACCTTGGATCCCAACCATAAAGCCCATTCCTGATCCTTAGGTTCTTGGCAGGCCTAATCTTAACCCTAGATCTTTATCACTGATACAAGCCACATGAAATCCTTCTGGAAAAGGCAGGTTAAAAAGAAATGATCTGATTTCAAGATCTAATCTCTAATCCTAAACCCAACCTAAACCTTAACCCTGCTCCTCCATACCTAACTCCCAAATGAATCTTGACCTTGACCCCTGCCCATGTCTCCAACCTTCTGCCCGCAGTGATCATCTGCCACTCCTCCCACCTCCCCAGGTGCCCTCCTTTCAGTGGTGGTTTCAAGTCTCTGGGTCTTTGCACATGCTGCAGCCACATGTCAGGATATCCTTTTCCAAGGTCATCTGGTAAACTCCTCTCACCCTTCAAGGTCCTCCACTAGCCCTTAGTGTTCCTTTCCTGGCCCTGTGCTGCCTTGTTTCCTGACCAGGCTCTCCTCAGATTCAGCTCTTAGGAGGTAGGGTTTTAATCTGCTGTGAGTAAAAATTGGAAGTAGAACAAATGATTGATTGTAAATGAGTGAGTGAGAGAACGAATGAGCGAATGACTTACTGAATAAACAAGTGACTACTGGCCAGGTGCAGTGGCTCATGTGTGTAATCCCAGCATTTTGGGAGGCTGAGGCAGGAGGATCACTTGAGCCCAGGAGGTTGAGACCAGCCTGGGCAACATAGGGAGACTGGGTCTTTACAATTTTTTTTTTTTTTTTTTTTTGAGACGGAGTCTCGCTCTGTCTCCCAGGCTGGAGTGCAGTGGCGGGGTCTCAGCTCACTGCAAGCTCCGCCTCCCGGGTCCACGCCATTCTCCTGCCTCAGCCTCCCGAGTGGCTGGGACTACAGGCACCCGCCACCTCACCCGGCTAGTTTTTTTTTGTATTTTTTAGTAGAGACGGGGTTTCACCGTGTTAGCCAGGATGGTCTCGATCTCCTGACCTCATGATCCACCCGTCTCAGCCTCCCAAAGTGCTGGGATTACAGGCTTGAGCCACCGCGCCTAAACGAACAAGTGAATGCCTATTCTGAATCTAAATCCTTAACACTCTCCCTGGATCCATTCCCAAGAAGGGAACAACTGGAAGGTCAAGAGAACCCCCAGCCACCAGTTGCCCTGAGATTGTTCTGTGTGTGTGCGTGCGTGGGTGTGTGTGTTTTCCTGTGTGCGTGCCTGTGCATGCACATGTGCTTGAGCCAAGAGCTTTGAATCAGACAAGTCTGGAGTCCACTCCTGGCCACAGAGTTCACCAGCTGAGTGACCTGAGCAAGTGCCTGCGCCTCTCTGGGTCTTCATGAACTCAAACATGCTAAAATTAAAAAACCCATCATGGAAAATCAGCTCTTCCTCCTTTGTTCATTTACCCTCCCCCAGCCCCTTGCTTGTGTCAGGCTCAGTGTTTGGTGCTGCAGGAACAGGAGTGGAAGGAACACTAGTAACGGTAGGAGGCAGGTCTGCAGGGAAGAGGGAACAGCCTCTGGGTGGAGAGGGAGGCTTCTTAGAGGATGTGAGAATCACTTGGGTTTGCTGCTGGACAAGTCAAGGCATAGGTGGCCACATGTTCAAAGATGACAAGCTGTGAACAAAGGGTTCCCTATTACTGCTGGAGAATGAGGTGGGAGGTGGGGGGTGGTGGCAGAAATTGGGGCTAGTGTGGGTGACAGTGACTCCATCAGGGAAGGCTTTAGGGACAGTCTGTGAAGTCTATGAAGTATGCACACTTTATTCTGTAAGCAATAAGGAGCCATTGCAGGTTTGGGCAGGGAAGGATGATCAGGTCTATGCTATAGAAAGCTCACTCTGACCAGCAGTGTGGAGGGCAGCATGGAGGTGGCTGTGGTGAGAGGCTGGTGGGGGAGTGCAAGGAACATAAAGTGATCTTGGTGATAGCTGACCTTTATTGAATGCCTACTATGTGCCAGGTGCTTAACTTGTCTAATTCCCACAACACCCAGATGAAGTCGATTTTCTCATGAGCTCCTTCTAGAAATGTCATCAATACACTAAAGTCTCCAACATTTCTATCTCCAGCCTGAACCTCCCTTCTGAACTCCAGACCTATATGTGCAATAGTCAGTTGGCTTCTCTACTGAATGTCCAATCGAATCTTAACCTTCGCAAGTCCAAAAACGATCTCCCCAAACCTGCTTCTCTCGGTCTTCCCCATCTCAGTCAATAGCAGTTTCACTCTTCCAGTTGCTCAGGCTAAAAACATTGGAGTCATCCCTGTCCACCCTCCACTTCTTACTTCCCACATCTGATCTATCTGCAGATCTCATCAGTTCTAACTTCAGTACATACCCTCCGTTCTGCTCACCCCTCTCCTCCAGACTGCTGCTAGGTGGGCCAAGCCCCCACCATTTCCTACCTGGATTACTGCAGCGGCTGCATTACTGATGGGCTCCTTGCCTCTGCCCCTTCAACCTATTCTTCATGCAGCAGCTAGTGTGGCCTTAACATAAAAAGCTAGATCAGGTTCCTCCTCTGCTCAAACCTGTTCCCAGCTCTCTAGAGTCAAAGTCCTGAGAATAGCAGAGAGATCCCAACATGATCCAGTCCCTGTCTCCCCAGCCCCTTATCTTCCCACATGCTTCCCCGCAACTCTACCCCAGCCACACTGACCCCCTTGCCAGCTTTCCCATTAGCCTGAGAATTCTTGCACTTGCTGTTCCCTGTACCTAGAATGCTATCTTTCCGGATATCCATGTCATTTTCTCCTTCAAATTTCTGTTCAAATGTCATCTTACTAGTGGGATCCTCCTTAACCACCCATTAAAAATAACAACTTGGCTGGGTGCAGTGGCTCACACCTGTAATGCCAGCACTTTGGGAGGCCGAGGTGGGAGGATTGCTTGAGGCCAGGAGTTTGAGACCAGCCTGAGCAACATAAGGATACCTCCATCTCTATAAAAAATTTAAAAATTAGTCAGGCGTGGTGGTGCGAGCGTGTAGTCCCTGTGACTCTAGAGGCTGAGGCAGGAGGATCCCTTAAGCCCAGGAGGTTGAAGCTGCAGTGATCCATGATCCTGCTGCGGCACTCCAGCCTGGCCAACAGAGCGAGAGCCTGTCTCAAAAGCGAAACAAAACCTCACCTTCCTCCCCTACCCAGACACCTTGTATCCCCTTCCCTGTTTATTGTTTATACCACATGTCACCATCTGAAACATTTTATACATTGTATTTTACTTTCTGGTTTATTATCTTCCTCTTCTCCTCTCCCCTTCCCTCCCCTCCCCTCACCCCACTAGAATGTCAGCTCCACGAGGACAGAGATTTTTCTTTATTTGCTTCACTGCCATATCCCCAGGGCCTAAAGTATTGTAGGTGCCCAATACATTCTTTTGAATGTTGACTATGGAATCCGCGTGCTACAGAAACTGAGACACAGGAGATTAAGTAAACTTGCACAAAATCACACACTAGTAAGTGGCTGAATTTGGATAATGAACTCAGAATATAGGCAGTGACAGCAGAGAATGGAGAGAGGGGGGAATGAAAGAAAACAAGGACCTGACAGATGGGCTTCAGGTCCGCGGGCTGACGCTGCACCAGGGGGTGAGGTTGATATTGTGAGACATCTGGGGGTTGACATGAAGATTAAATGAACTGAGACTTGAAAACACATTGTATATATAGGGAAAAGAGATTCTAAGAAAACTATTCCATGCATTTTGAATTCCCAGCCATGTTCCTGACCTTCTCCACCCTTGCTGCTGAGGCATCTGTTGCTTCCAGTTGGGGGCAGGTTCAGCAGCAGACGAGCAGCCCCTCCTTAGCTTTGCCTTTCTAAATGGATTTTTTGAAAGAGTAGAGGAG